TTTGCTTCCTTTATCTTGTTATCTTTTAAATGCTTGCATCTGTTTGTTTACCCACCTGTTCCACATTCCCTCAATTAGCCGTTGTGTATTTATAGCCTCGGTTCTCTCCTTCCTCTTTTGATCAACAGGTGTTCCTCAAAGGTAGACGTTGCATTTTCTAATTGCCTAAGGTTACCATTAGGATCATAATTAGAGTTGGGGTCTGAACTGCTGTAGTTGTTGAGTTTTATAGAGCATTCAGAATTTAAAATGCCTCTCAGAATTGTTTTAAGACTTACTGGATAAAATGGTGGAGCCAATAACGTATGTTTGCTAATTTGAGCCACTTTTTGTCATGATTCGGCTGTGTGCAGGCTGGATGAGGACCCAATCGCAAACTCACAGAGGCAGGAATGAACTCAAAATTCACAGCTTTATTGCTGGAGAGCAGAACCATGCAAATTAAACCAGGAAACTATAACGTAACACACAGAGAAACGCACGGCCATGGATGAGGGAGAACGCGACACCGAACTGAGGGAGACGCAGACATAAATACACAGAGGGTTAACGAGGGAAGTGGGAACACACGGGGAACACAGGTGACACTGATAATCATAACAAGACACGGCAGGAGTAAATGCAACACTGACGGGAGACTGTCAAAGTAAAACAGGAAGTACACAGAGGTTCAGACAGGAGGAGAGAGAGCACGGGGAGAACACAGACATAACGGGCTGGGGAAAACATGGAATAAAACACAAGGAGAGACGAGGGCTCACAGATACACAGAGGGGCACACAGGGGGTAAGAGTCACAAGGGGAAAACACATAAGGAACAACGTAACAGAGAAACCCAGGAAGCATGGCCTAAATAAGGAACAATACACAAATACATGAAAACTAAGAATACTGGGCCACCATGGCCCAGGACCATGACACTTTTTCCTGTCAGTAAAACATTTTAAAATGAATAATCTGCCAGCTTTGTGGTACAGAGTGGCAAATAAGTATATACTTCAGTGATTAGCAGTGTGTGCACCCATGCACTTTATGGATCCAGCTTTTCTTTCAATGTAGCTGCCATCACCAGTGTGTGAATGTGTGTGTGAATGGGTGGGTGACTGGATGTGTAAAGCGCTTTGGGGTCCTTAGGGACTAGTAAAGCGCTATATAAATACAGGCCATTTCTAACATTAGCTGACTCCATTTGTTCTGACATGTTCACTTCCGCCTCCAAAAATAAGGATGCCAATGGTTATCATGCTAAATCTGTAACATGTATGCCATGCCATATCTTATACCACACCACACTTCAAGACATATTCATATTAGTCTTAGAAGCTTACATGAAAAGCTTACAGTGGAACATTGCCAACCCTCCAAATGATGAGCTTGTATTTCATCCGCACGCACAAGAAGAATTGGGTATTAGTGGTTGATCATAACAGTGCGTCTAGACAGGAGTGTTTAAGCAAAACCTCTTAAAATATCTGTGGAAGATAGAAAAACCACAGGAGTGTGCACTTACTGCAGAAAATGGAAGTGCAATTATAAACCAAAGGTCACCAATAAGTGAAAAGACATTAAGATGTAATAGAAAACAGGCCTTTTTCAGGGAATATGCAAGAGTTGAACTTACAGTCTTCCTGCAGCAATGGAAGTTAAAGACAGTAACTACACTAACTGCAACTATGGTCCACTACTAGGAAACACTGTACTGTGGGATGTAGCAGTCTATAGGGATATCAAAACGTTAACAAAAAGGGAGCAAATGACTGGAGAAGGTTATGGTAGATAGCCACACAGTCTTCAGGCTTAAATTGTATTCCAAGATGAACTGAACAGAAGGGTGAAAACAAAGCATCCAACAAGTGCAACACATTTGTGGCAGCATCTGCAATAGTGTTGTAAAGAACTTTCCAAACAATGATTCATTTCCATTGTAGACCGAATGCCACATGTTGTTTGGCTGCTAAATGAATCAAAACTTTAGATTCAATTTAGGACGTAAGGCTCCACGGTTCCTTAAAAGCATATTTCTTTTCGTAGGTTTTTCTGACGTATACTGAGACAAAACGCTGCGTCAGTTGAACCTACAGTATATTTATTATCCAACCCACTCATGTTTGCACCACTCTAAGTCTGAAACTGAACACAAGAGATAAATAGTGGATCCGGATGTAGTCGAGCCAACAAGACTCACAGTAGACAGCGGGTTTCAAGCAATGCTCATCGAGTCTCAGCTTTTTTTTTTAGCTACATCAGTCAACTGCAGAGAAATACATGGTAAAGCTCCAACTGCAGAAGCCTGCAATTAGATCAGCTATCAGTGTCATGATCCTGGGTCCTTTTGACCCAGCGTTTTGTGTTTTCTCTTTGCGATTTTGGTTCTGTTCTTCCTCTGGTTAGTGTTTACTCTGTTCTGCCCGTGTGTTCCTGTATCTAGTCCGCGTTCTTAGTTTGTGTCCTTTCATGTGTAAGTTCCTGTTTTATTGTGAAGGTCTGTGTCTTATGTGAGTGTTTTCAGTTTGCCTCCCTAGTCTCGTCATGTTAATTACTCCCAGCTGTGTCCCCACCTGTATGTATTCCCCTGTGTTCTCTGAGTGTATTTAAGTTGTGTCTTCTGTCATAGTAGTTGCTGGTTCGTCTGTGTTGTTTCCCCTCGGTCTCCCTGCGTCTCTCCGTGTATAGTTCTCCGGATCTCCCTGCATCTTCGGTTCTGGTTTGTGTTGTTAGTTTACCCAGTTTAGGTTTCAGTTTCATGTTCCTAGCGCCTTTGTTGTTTGCATTTTGTTGTTAATAAACACTCACCTGCACCAGAGCTGCCGCCTTTTGGTCCTATATATATTCCACACGGCTTGCCCCCGCAAACCGTGACAATCAGAGCATAACCTCTGCACGGAAAGAGGAGCGCTTTAAAACAGGCTCACTTTGCAGTACAGTTAGTTTTTAGTCACGTACACAATTATAATATGAGTTTTTATATGCTACATATACGTATAATTTTCTTCGCACTCATAAGCAACAAGTCCTGGCTCTAAACTGTTATATCCTCCATCCTCTGCTCATCCATCATGAAGTCCACAGGTGTGGGACCACTTTTAAATTTAATTTTCATTCACTCTTTGTGTAAGTTTAGGCAATAAAATTACTCGCTAAGCTTTATGAAAGGAATGATGATTTTTTTTCAAATGAAATCCTTTTACAAACATCGGGATGGTTGTCAAGTAAAGCAAAGTTAGCTTATTAGTTAAACTGCTGGTTACATATTACTACAGATGTTCGTTATTGAATAAGGAGAGGTAATTTGGAAAATGATTTATTGGGATGCAGAATTCAGCTGATAAGCTGTTAGGAGGTAAAACTTTAAAGAACCATCATAGCACAGTGGAGTCTAATTCCTATCCCAGCAGTGAGAGGAATAAGGACAGGACCCCCCGAGTCTAGGTGCTGATGTTGGTGATGATGATGAAGGTGGAGGCTTGAATGGGACTCCAGTGACCAGGATGAGGCAGAGATGGGGAGAGAATTAGAGTCTGAAAGGCAGAATGAGAAGAGAGCGCTCACATTAAAGCATACTGAGCAGAGGCTGATTGGCTCACAGAACACAGGCAAGAAAATGATTGGACTTGAGTAATGATGTCAGTATTGAGTTTGACAGCGTGGAAAAGAGGAAGTGATGTAAAGAACAGACTAGAAGACTAAACACACAGCAAAGCAGGCAGATGAGTGATTGCAGAGCTTCTTATTGAACATACAAATTTGTTTCTTTTATGTAACAATTTGTACAGCTTCATTAATGACTCAGTGTGGCGTGCCAACCTCAATGCGGCTTCTGGCTCATCTGAAAAACAACTATGAAAAAGCCATTTTGGGTTATGTAATGTAATGGATCGCCTACATAACTGGAAATAAAATGAATAACATCTACTTGCTTCAAACACCACACAGGGGAAACTGTGTCAGATATCAGAGCAACAGCATCTTTGGCTCTTTGAGTCCAGATGGAACAGCAACAATCTTTTCCATTACAGAACTGGTCCATAGACCTCTGCTGAGGTTTATGTGAGCGTCATGTCTTTCTCTTATAAACTGTCTGATATGACCATGAATAACCAGAAGGGTGTGCTCAAGCACTAATCATTAGCACCATTGATTATCAGCTAACCTTTTAACATCCACTAGGGAACCAGACATGTGTTTAGGGTTAGTAAGGTTAGGGCTGGGTTTGCTAAATATGCATTTTCAGAAACTACAAAATGTGTTTCAAAAGTATCAAAAGTAGATCCATATATATAGGAGTATATATATATATATATATATACTCTTGAGGTTATTATGTATCACCCAACTCTAACCCTAACTCTGTGGGTCACTGGCTACCAGATGTTTATTTTTATTCTTGTTTTTAATCATCCAAGTGGAGAAGCTGTATTAAAAACATTATAATGCCAACATTTTTTGAGAAATGTCACATCATATAGTTTCTGAAAAATTGCCTTGACGTTAGATTAGGTGACTGCCTCGCTGGCAAGAGGCAGTCATTCTTCTTCTTTTCTGAATGATTGAAACGGCAGTGGTGCACTACATGCCAAATAAGAGAGATATGATCATAACTGCGGTTCTTTCATCATTATTCCATTATGCAACTGTTACATACTGTTTTATTAGGCTTGCAGATCTTATAATCATGAATTATTATCTCACATTTCTGTTATATCCATGAAATGCACCAATATTTCATGATGACATTACACAATGATGCCTTCTTTAGGTTTTCATGGGCTCTCTGCCCCACTGCCGTCATGTTGCACACCCTAAGTGCAGTGATTGAATTACAGCGTAATGACTCCGTTTTCCCACAGGGATCAATAAAGTTGCACCTTGCCTTGTATGATCTAATTGCTGCGGTTGTTACCTGGCTTGTTTCTCATATACAAACACACTCGTTAAATGGGCTTTGATGCTGCCTGTTTGAACACGGTGGAGTGACATGTTTGTCTCCCCCTCCCCAACAGGTTCACGTGGGCACCTCACACCAAGAGCAGAGGGTGGTGGGATACGTCACATGTACGCATCTCCACGCCATAGAAGGTAGGGTTATATGTTCTACAACTCTCTCCTTCTGTCTTTTGTCATTTCTGTCTCTGCACATGCACACATGAGTGTATTAGTAAGGATCCCAAGATGCCTTTTTTGAAGGGTTGTTTCTTAAGCAGGATGGAAAACATGTCAGGTCCCAATGTGATTGTCTTTCTCTAGAAGACCTGCAAAGACAGTTTTGTGTGTGTGTGCGTGTGCGTGTGTGTGTGTGTGCGTGTGTGCACGCTTCTCTGTCCAGATACTTAGATAAATGAGCACATCACAACCCGAGCATGCCTCCTCCTGCTGTTCCCATGGTGACTGCCTCAAGCTGTTTAAGGCGTCACAGCCCTATTTAAAGCCCCTGGTCGATGTCACCCTCATTTTTTACCAAAGACATACCCTCCCCACCTCTTTTCGCCTGCTATTCTGGGCTTCTCCTACGCTTCTCTCAGACCTAAATATAGCAGTGGCAGGGCTGTTTCTAAAGATACATCAAACACAAAGCCTTTGGAGGTTAAGGGGGCTGGGCTGGTGGGGTAAGTCAGGGAGAACAGAGAGGAAGAAACAGGGGAGGAGTGCAGAGACCTGATTCTCTGAGAACTATATGAGAAATCTTTCCAGGCTGAGTGCTCAATTCATGATGCAGCGGGACTATCAGCATATAGATATACAGTATATACTGAACTCAGTAATGCAGTGGCTACCTCATCTCTTGGCTTTCTTCCATTTCGGTGCAGTTCAGTTCAATGTGCTCTTATTTTTGTTCCTCTTTGACTTGTTGCCAGCGTGGTGAGGATGGAGGTCCTAGGCCAAAAGCCAATGGACACGTTACCAATCTGTTACAGAGCGAACAAACACGGTTACCTCAACATGCATGTGCTTGGACTATGAGATGAAACCAGAATACCCAAAGTACTAAGTAACCCAAACCTTCTTGCTGTGAGGGACATATATATAATCACTTTATGAACTTTATGAACTAAAGTGACTACCACAAAAGGCACCAGTTTTCTATTGCTGTTGCTACTTCACTCACACCCAGAAAAAATAAGATTTAATGTTGTATAGAGCCTCATTTAGGCTGTTGTTGAAAGAAGAATTGCAGCCAGCAGCCAAACTGTTGAGACCTCAATTCACTGATTTGTTGTCTGCTCTAATATTGCTGCATCACAACCGGTGTCACAAGCGGTCGAGATGCATATACATGTACTCAATTTTTACTTGGACATCTCTGTCCTGTTTTAGTCCTGTGTTTCCATTTCAAGGATAAAGGTAATTTGATCTCAGCATTAATATTTTTGGTAAAACACTGATTGTACTGGACAAAGAATATATCTTTGCACAGTGCACAGCACCATAGAGCATATGGATTGTGTAAAACTGATAATAATGATATCTTTTTCATTTACCCCTAACATTTATATGTTTAACCTTTAAACAAAAATATCTATTTCAACCATATTTCTGTAAAGAATCAATAAAAATGTATGAAATGAGTAGCTGGAACTGAGGTGGCTACAGAGACCTGGACCACCTGCCTAAGATAAAACCCCTTTGAGAGGCTCAAATATAGTTGTGTTGTTAGTTTCCTAACTCAGAACAAAACTAATCTCTTTGCAAATTAACAGAGATTCAATTACTCTGAACTATCCTGAGGTACAGCTCAGTTGAAGTTCCAAATTCCCCGCTGGTATTTAACATCATTACTTCCTGCTTGTAAACTTCACAAAGACCACAGTTTAAAGCTCTGACGGTGCCTGGAAACTAAGGAGGGTGGTGCATCCCGCATAAATGGCTGCATTACTCACCTGGGTGAAACATCTCTATATGCACCAGGTCTGCACTGACTCATCTTGTTATGAGAGGGATAAGTTTGGTTTGGTTTTAGACACATGCTAAATAAGCACATTTCTTAACATTAGCCAAACTCAAACATTACTCTTTTTGAGTCGCCTGGTGGATTTTAAAAGGTTAAACTTTGTCTACACATCAAAGGATTTGTTTGTTGCATCACCTTAAACCTGATGATTGTTTGCAGGTGGACATCCACTAGTTCCTGCTAATTTCTCTGTGTATGTATTCAGAGTGAGACTGTTTACCTGATTGTTCCTTTTTTTCTGATAAAAGCATACAAATCATTATATTATTTTGATCTGAAGAAACATTTCGTTTTCATGCACATACACAGACAAACGCTCCCCCACGTCCCCCCTCCCAGATACATCCATCTCTAAGAGATGCAGTCACACAAAAAGAAAAGAAATAGCATTTCACATGTACTTGAGCTGAGAGTAATCAAAGCCAAAGCCACCTACTCACCCACCAATATCTTGACACCTCTTTGTTTCTCGCACTCTCCACTATTCAGCTGATATTTCTATCGCATGCTTTCACCCACCGCCTCCTTCTATTCACCTCCTCCCTCCGATCCATAACTAACGCCAATTTATCAGATGTACTGGCAGCAGCGGACAGACACAAATGCTGCCAAAGCAAAACAGCACCAGAAGTTACTTAAAGGGTTAGGCTGCCTTTTTTTAAGCAGGATTGTAATAATCGCTCCGTAGTTACAGTATTAGACAGTGGGTGACAGATGGCAAAAGCAAGACCTTCTCACAGAGCACAGATCAAGTCAGAAACAACATGAAATGAAAGAGCTGGGGTGGCGGTGGGTTACAGAGCGGCTTGCAGAGGCAGAAGAAACTGCAGGCAGGCTGAAGCAATGTAAATAGTGGAAGGCAATCACCAGAGGGGCCAGCCCCCAAATTAACTTATAGGTTTAAGATAACCTTTTACAACTTCATTAGCTTACCAATTTGTAGCTCATTCTTTGGTGTCATATTACGTTGTAATCTACATGATGCAAATGTTCACATTCAGGTTCTAACCCACAGTACTAATGCTGAATTAATCTGTGAGATTATGCTGTGATTACACCCATTTCTGTATATTTTAGTGATTTTCAGTAATACTCTGCTACTCATTTCACTGCATTATCTCAGGTGATGCATCAGTACGGTGTGAGCAGCTGGACCGGTTGCTTCAGTGGGGGGCTGAGTTTCGCCAGTCATCATCCATACCACTGGAAGGAGAGAAGGTGCTGGAAGACCTGGTGGCCTTCGACGTCATCCTGGGAGACCTCAACTTTGACAACTGCTCTTCAGGTATGTCTAAATTGATAGTGCCAGGATCAACACAGGGGTAGTTGGGATGTTCTCCACCCACCTCAAAATTTGATTGCATGCTGAACTGGAGAAAAGCTGTACAGTGGGGTTGAATTTTGGATATGCACTGATGTAGATCTGGAAATAGGTCATTTCTCAAAAATGTCAACGTGTTCTCTAACTTGCTGTTAACATCGAGTCTCCCATTTAGCACTTGGAAAATTCTGAAAATCATTCACTTTGTGTTTTAAAATGCATTTGATCTTATGATTCAGTTATAAACAATCTGAGGTTCGACTAATTACCCAAAACTGCAGCTTTGGTTCTTTGCTTTGTAATAATAGTGTGTAAAGAACAAAGCTGCAATTTTTAATTCCAAAAGAAAACCATTGTTTAACTGACTAATGTACTAACACGATAGGCTCCTGCTGTCAAATAGACAATGAACATTTTAATAAGTTGATTGTTCTTATTAGTCATATTGTTAAATTCTTCTTTGAAAGCTTTCCGTAATGAGGCATTGAATGTGACCACGATGCTTGTTATAATTAATCAAAACAGCCTTGAAACAGTGAACCTCTATGACAGTGTGTCAGTAAAGCTCATGGCTCAGCTCACAGATCTTTGTACTTCACACTGCAATTGTACATGCAAAAATAAAATGTGAATTAAGCTCTGAATGCTTCTAAGTAAGACTGAATAGCAGCTCAGTACTGTACCTGAAGGCCTCCTGTATACCCACAGCTTTAACCAGAGCTCTGCACTGGTGTTATTTATATAACCACCATCAACAGCACCAACATAAAAGACAGAAAGAAGCATTGCTGTCTCTTTATCCCTTAAATCCCAGTGCGAAAAAGTGTTTGTGTTGTAAAGCAGACTTAGCAATAAAAAGAAGCGCAGTGGATTAAAAAGAAGGATAGAGTGGGAGAAAAGGTATGAAAAATAAAAGAATGGAATATCTTTGAACAATTGGTTTTTAGTAGCTAATTAATAACTATATAAGACTAACTATTCACCACATTTAATTTTTGCATTAAATGAGATAAATGCAAGACGACAGTAATAAAAAGCATTCATACAAAAGAGCTATCTCACAAACACAAGCATGATGTAGCTTGCCATTGCCAGTGTGTGAATGTGTGTGTGAATGACTGAATTAGTGAATGTAGTGTAAAGCGCTTTGGGGTCCTTAGGGACTGAGTAAAAGCGCTATACAAATGCAGGCCATTTACCATTTACCATGATAATTAAACCAGCTGCAGTTGGTATCAGAAATAGAAAGCACTAAAGGTCAAGTCCTTGGCAACGGTGGGGAGGAAGAACTCCCTTTTTAACTGAAAGAGTCCACACAAGCAGGCTCAGGGAGGGGAAAAGGTCTGTAAAGAGAATGAAGAGGGAAAAAGAAAAGTGTAGAGCTGTGGAGGTTAAAAGGGGACTTAAGTGAAATGAAATGAATGAATGAATAAATAATAATGAAACTGATTTATTTTATTATACTTAACTCGTGTTTTGCCCTGCACAGCATGCTAGCAGCTTAGCAACTATGACCTCCTAAAGAAGAATCAGTAATGTGTGACTTTTCTGCCGTGTTTGGAGTAAAACTGACTTTCCTGACTGTGTGTATAACCTTCCACTGTGTATGTGTGCACACTTGTATTTTTCCAGAGGACAAGCTGGAGCAGCAGCACGCACTTTTTACTCAATACAAGGACCCATGTCGCCTGGGGCCAGGGGAGGACAAACCATGGGCTCTGGGTAACAACACACAACCCAACACATGCCCACGCACATCTTCCTCTACGGTCGCTCCATACGCACTGTAGTAATATGTACACCACCGGCTTCGGTTACAGTCTGACTGTAAAATGCAGGTGTTGCTGCGTGCACCGAGGATCCACGCGGTGCCTGCAGAGTGCAGCAGGCATTAATCTGGCTCAGGCTGGCTAAGTCAGAATGCACCCAGTACAGCAGGCTGATACATGGGCATTAGTGACGCAGAAGACTGGAGGGTTTTGGTCTGGATATGGAGCGTTTTTTTAGGCCAGCGGTATTTCAGGGACAGTGTGGGCAGGACCGAGTGAAAGGGCTTGTTTAGAGAAGGGCTTATTTATTTGGACAGGCATATTTTCCATTGCAAGCCGGGGAAACAGATTGGCACTGCCTGTTTCGCTGTTATCAGACATAGGGAGGTTGGAGGGGAAAGAAAAAACTGATCAATGAATCAGTGAAAGAAAGGGAAGGAAGATTATCCCATTTCATAAAGCTTATCCAAAGAAGATTAGACCTGAATGGATACAATAGTGAGCCAAAAATCACAGCTAGAGAGCTGAAGCTGCCAGATATTGTCAGATGTTGTACTGACAGAGTGTGCAGTAATTTCCTGACTCTTCTGGTGGCAAACGGCGGGATTTCATACTTCTTTTAAATCTTGTGGAAAAGAAGGAAAAGCATGAGACCAACTTGGCATAAAAAGCCATGGCAATATGTTCACATGACTGAAGTTTCAGCAAAAAAAGAAAAATCTCCCCCACTCATAAATGTCACGTCTCTTTTCATGATGCGTTTTAGTTCATGTTAGAGGGCAGATTAAACAACCGCCAAAGCCAGCAAGTACACTCACTGTGGTCTTCGATGTATTTTTGGAGCTGTGGCCAGAGCTGGTGTGAAAGAATATTTATTTTGTTCCCTTCACAGCTTGTTGGTGTTTTCAGGATTTATGAGACCAGAAAACTGAGGTCATGTTAACCACTCAAAACAGGGAAGCTGGTGCATATCTGTACTTTCCCAAGCAAGCTGAAGCAACACGTTCTCACTCCCAACCCAACACGTGCTCCTGCTCAGGAACTCCTTCCTTTTATATTTTAACACATTAGTGTGTTTTTCCCTTTCAGGGGTGCCATTTACTGTTGATTTCCAAGAGGAGGAGTAACAAAATCCTACATTTGACAGGTGTCTGGAAACTAATTTAAGGTTAGGGTTAAGGTTTGTTGGTGTTTTAGCCACATGCATGGAATTTGGCCCTGTAGTATTTAGAAGCATTTCCATTTGGATGTGCCAAATGGTCAAAAATACCATGAAATCTAAGTCTATCTGGGTCACCAGGTGGGGGTGAGCCTAACGCAAAAGACAAAAGCAGATTCATTTAACTCATGTTTTTGACCTTACCATTGGTGTTGCCATACGGTTAGCTTAAATGCAGACTTTCATTATGTCAAACACCCAGTAGAAAGGCAGGAAAGGTCTCCTTTCCTTGTTTCCTTAACCTTAATCTTACTACGCAGTGAAAGTCTTAAGATTTAGAGTTGTTCAGTTATCAGTTCTGCTTGCCTCTAATGTCACAACTCACTAATACACTGATTTGTTTTGAACTTTCAGCGACTTTTTAATGCCTCAGGCAAACAATCTCATGCTGTTTTGTTAAAATCTGCTATGAGCTATATTAAAGTAACCAAAGTGAAGCGAAGGCTGTAATCTAACTCTGTTTGCATTGGCTATGTGCTCAGTTTGATGTTGACTGTATTGCCAAACCACTGTATAGTATAGTCTCATGAATTTATTTGACTTGAATGATGATAATAAAAGCAAGAGTTAAAGCGGATCATCTCTGTAGCAGGAAAAGAAAATGTGAGTTGACAGAAGGGTTAGCAAGATTATGTTTCATTTTACTGTTGAGACTGCCTGCACCCTCCCGTTTTTAACTCCAGCCTTGGCAGTGAAATTATTTTTTAGTCAATGTTTATACAGCCCGGAGTAGCCTTAGTACATACGATGTGTTTTCTTGTCTATCTCAAGGATCCACATCAACAGCCTCGTTGTGTAAGTGTTGTCAGATATACATATATAGTACCACAGTCCTCTCTTTCTGACTTCTCCTTCATGTCTTTCCTTCAGCTGTCTGAGTTAAGTTGATTAGCAAAAGATGTGGAAGTTTTGTTTGACTTGGCCAGGTTTGGTTGCATTAGCTTTGGCATTTCTTATGGGGAGTTGGAGCTCCTGGACAAATTCTGCACCAGTACAGGGCGAACAACCCGACTCCACACAGTGGCCGTGCTCAGCATCCTTGGTTACCATGGTGTCCCATGGTACTGATGACATCAGCAGCACTTTTTTTCTTGAAGTCTCTCTGTGGTTATTTCTAGAGATGGATACTGACCTAAATTACTGGATCGGATATCGGAGAAAAATAAAAAATGTAATCCGATCCATTAAATATCACGAAAGCACCTCACAAAACTTGCAACACGCCGTAACTCACCTCAGAACGTTAGCACGTCGGAGCAGTATGCATCACGTGATAGAGCGGCTGTGGCATGCGGACCTGTCGGTGGTCTGGATAGCATGTGGAGCTTCGCTAGCAACCCGGCATTTCATCTCCGACAAAGTTACCCCGAGAGAAGTAAAGCAAGTGTGTAAGTCCATCTCTGAATGTTTGTAAAGCATTCCTGCGTTAAGCGACTGCCTCCTCTTGCTGCTACTTCAATCATGAAACAGCTTAATGATCGGCTGATCGGCTTTTCTGTCGCGAGTCCGTCTCTCTTGTTTGTTTTTGGCCCACTTTGCACCAGAAAGAGGAAACCAGCGGCTGAACAACAGCAGCACATTTAAGCTTGATAAGCTGTTGTTAGAATTTATTTAGTATTTCTTTCTACACCAGGATCTTTTTCTACAGCTGACGCTGGTAACTGTGCAGGGGTGGATCTAGCAAAGTTTAGCCAGGGGGGCCGATAGGGCATGAACATTGAAAAGGGGGCACAAAGACATAGTTTTAAAATGTCTAGCTTTTAATAAATAATTATCCAAATCTTACACCCAAAGTTTTAATTTGATGTAAAATGAATAGAAGTCCATTACTGTATATAGTAACTATTAAGTCTAATATATATACCCTAGTAAGCTATAGTACTTTTTCCTTTGGAAAGGTACCATCTGTGCAGTCTGCAATTTTGTTGAAGAAAGATGTTGAATCTATTTAATATTTCTTGAAAAATAATTGATTTCTGTGCATTTTTTTTCACACTGCATCAAATTAAGGTTGATTACATCGATTAAGCATCATGAGGTGGAGCGTGAGGGGTGGTTCCCTATTTTTTATTTTTTTATTTTTGTTGTTGCTGGGAGTTGGAACCCTATTAGTTAGGTTGCTTAATATTTACACTAAGTACTCTTTAAAATACCAGAATAGGGAGGATGGTGCAGGTTTAAGTTTATTAGATTGATCAGTATTGCTGAACTATGAAATATTTTTTTTTTGCATACAGGTATAACAGAATAGCTTTAGTGTAGTTGTTGTTTTAAACTTGAGTATGAACTTCTACAAAATGCAGCAAGATATTTTAAAAAACAGTTTTGTTGATTAAAACACACTATATCGGATTCATATCGGTATCGGCAGATATCCAAATTTATGATATCGGTATCGGTATTGGACATAAAAAAGTGGTATCGTACCATCTCTAGTTATTTCTGACCTTGAGGGACTCCCACCGACTCTGTCGAGCTGCTAACAGCGTACCCAGTGGGCGACACCTACTGGTTCTGACCGAGTGAGAATGGGTTGGCTAAAAACGGCAGCAGTGTAGCGGAGTATGCCCACCGGACACCCCGCCATCTTTATTTTCACTGATCTAAAACCTGCTCTTAGAATTGTGAAAAACACTGTCCGTGCATCAGACGCCTACTCTTCATAAGAGCTCCCAACACTCATGAATTGACTGGAGTAACTTCAGAGTGCTGCGCTCGTCATGCGGAGCATTTTAAACGCATTATCCAGCCCACGGCCTTGAGTCCTCATTCTCAAAAGCATCTCTGAGTGCTTCTCTCTCTCTTGCTGTTTTATTCCACTGGTTTATGACAGTAGATTGTAGTCTGAGGATTATAAAGGCGGAGAGGGTTTCTGACCCTTTAGAATAGCTATACTGGAAGCTAGATGTTATTTGACATAGTGAGGGGGAGGACTGTGCAGTGTAAACTACATCAATAAAGCGTGAGCAGAAATGGTTTCTGCAGTATGTCACTGCAAATGAAATACACAGAGTGGAGATGAATCATTGGTGCAGTTGTATATGAATATTTTTCACGAGCCAGATTTTAATCAGATACTGGTGTTTTGCTGTTTTCATCTTTATTTAAGCTAATTGAAATAATTCGATTCATGCTCACAAGTTTCAGTCTACAAAGGCAAAACAATGAAAAACAGAGATTTACCAAACAGCAAGAAGTCTGGTTGTTTATTTTCAGCTGCGCCAATGTCCTCCCAGTGCCCAGAGACACGCCTGTCAGGTGGATGAACGTCAATTCATTGGTCACAGGTAGATAAACCTTTAAGAGGTCAGTAAGACTAGAAAAGCACAAGAGAAGCACAAGCAGAAGTACATTAATCCACTAACAAATCATGAGCGATGAGCCTCACCTGAATTTTATGCCATTAAAGTGTTTTGAAAATTGTTCAGTCATTGTAATCGGTACACATCCCTAACTATATATAATATATATACTAATATATATACTATACTAGTATATATACTATAATATATTTTGTTCTTGGGTTAGGGTCATCACCAATGGTTTTAATGACTTGGTGAACAAAAATAAATTTATATAAAATCTATTAATGGACACTCCTGTAGCTCGTACATTTTTGGTCCTGTGTATTAAAGTACAAAATTGTCATTAAAAGTTTAAGACTGGGACAAACCACAGTGCCCTCCACCAAAGATATGATTATAAAGGGAGACTATTCTTCTTCTAAAGCTACAATAGGATATTATTTTATGAACATGAAATTGGCGCCAGCTGATGATGTATACAGAAGTGATAACTTTTGTTCAGTGAATGGTAAATGGACTGGTTCTTAGATAGCACATTTCCTCTTTACTTAAACACTCAAAGCACTTTCTTCAGCTTTATTCACACCCAGTCATACCAGTACTTTTTTCTAAACCTGGATCTTTTCTATCTAGAAGAGCAACTTGGGGTTCAGTATCTTGTCCAAGGATATTTAGGCACGCAGACTGTAGCAGTCAGGGGTCAAACCACCAAATTGCCTATCAGGTACCTTCTGAGCTGGTTCCCATTATCTGATAACATTTGAAATTGGTAAATTAGATGAACAAAGGCTGCAGCTCAGGAGCAAGAGCAGACTGTCTAGTCGTTTTAAGATTGGTGCTTTAACTCATCCATCAGAGTATGAGTGTGTGGTTGTTAGGTTAAACCTGCTTAGTCATAGAAAAATGTAGTAAGAAAGCACTTTGAGTTCTCAGAGTAGAAAAAAGTATTTAAGTACCACTCCAAACGCTGAGAGATAGACAACTTTTTCTAGTCTAATGATTTGAGACAAACATCTAAATTCATTGTGTCATTTTAACCTTCCATTAAGAGCTTTTGTTGCCCTCCAACTTGGACTCTGCAAACCCTGCAGAGTCATATGAGCATTGTGCACTTTATAAAAGCATCATGCACACTGATAATCTCCTGCTGACACATTTCATGAAAGAGACGCTTCATGAATTCAGAGAAGGAAAAAAAAGCTCAGCCAGCAAGTAAAAGGTAATCCTATTTTTCCTCTTTTTTTCTTCTAAACCTGACCTCCATCAGTGTATGTACCTGTGGGTCATGCTAACTTGTATCACTCCATACCTGCATACCTTCAGTATCAGGGTAGAAAGTGCAAGTTCTGCGCTGCCTTCCAAAAAAATATTTTTGCATAAATCATTTTTCATTCTCGCCTAAAGTAAACATGGAAATGAACCACCTGAACCTTTTCTCACTCCCTGCTTACATAATGATGCTTAATCAGGACATGTAGGTGTTCTATTACAATGCACTGGGCACTCTTTTACTGACAGTTTTCACCAGGTTAGTCTGATAGGATTTAACACCTGACCTGGACCATAAGCACAAGCAGAAGCACTCTGCTGGTGTGTTAACTGTAGTCAAGGACTTTATCATGGAAACCAAGAATAGTGGAGATATTAGATGTTTGCCTTTTAAAATGTTTTAATCTTGTGGAAGTTTGTATTTTATTTTTCCCTAAATCTAAGTATCTAAGTAGCCTCCGTGTCTAAGCCACATTATTTAATGCCTCAAACTAACCAAAAAGACAGAAAGGCCTCGCAGTCAAAAATAAGCAGCATTCAATCTCTTGGCGGTCATATGAGGACTTTTGTTCTAAGTGGTGTGTGTGTGTGTGTGTGTGTGTGTGTGTGTGTGTGTGTGTGTGTGTGTGTGTGTGTGTGTGTGTGTGTGTGTAAAAATCAAACATGAAAATGTTTGTAATTCTGGCTGTGAGAATTACCTTTTTTCTCTATTAGGCACCTCCATCAAGGGACGCTTACACAGCATTTTCATCCACACGAGCTATATTCTTTAATATTATATTATATATTATATTATATAATATTTATATTCTTTATTCTATATTCTTTAAAAACTCTGCAGCTAAACTGGACGACTGGACAGACTGCTCAGCTGTCCCATAGTCAAATTGTAAACAGTTACAAGAGAAGTCATTTTCTGCATCGTATTTGCTAATGTAAACACATCAGTGTGAATGAATGGATGTGCTAAGTAGTCCATTATAAAAATATGTGATGATGCTAGCTAAAAGACTGAGCCATGGACTGATACTACAAGGCTGAGGGAGAACGAGGGGGAGGGAAGGAGAGAAATGCAGGCTGAATTTACTTGTGCACGTCTCCACTTTAATGCATTGTAATGTGTCTTTAAACAGGTACTCTGCTGGATCCCAGTGGCCTTTATGATGAAGATGTCAGTTCACCGGAAAGTTTACAAAAGTGAGTCTCATCCCCTGAAAAATCAAATTACCTCTCCTTTTATTCGCATGACGATCATAAATCACAGCGGTCTAACTTCTGCTCCCAAATCTTACGAGTGTACCCATAATATATGTGTACCAAAACATATCTGAGATTTAAAGCTCTGAAATTACCATTGACCCAGTGCTCATGTTTGCAATTTGCTGTAATTACTATAATTTCTTCGGAAATTTTCAATGAAGCATCGTCATGACATCACCAGGCAGGCCACGAAGTCAAGATAAGCCCTAATCTCAGCAAATTTAGATGATGGGAGTGCAAACCCACACTTGACCGTTGCTCAGCTGATACACTGCAAACCATCTCCACCCCAACTGCTCATTATCATTCAGTGTCTGACATATTTATCTTCAGTGCCTGCTCTGGAGTCTTGTTAATACTCTCTTCACTTTCCACGTATGCACACAGAAGTCTATAGAGGTTGGAGAACAGAGCCAATATCCCAAAATATAAATGACTGTAGACTGAAATAATAATCTTTTTGGTTATAGTGGTCCTGACAGAATTCCAATTAACTATATGCATTTGGATACAACACAGCATCTAAACTTCAGTATGTTGTGTGTTGTTTTCAGACTTATGGAGAACGAAGAGGGAAGGAAGGAGTACCTGGTGTTTCCTCCCAGTAAGAGCCAGTGTCCCGCCAGCAGTCAGAAGGGAAGGAAAATCCCGCTGAAGGGCAACGGACGCCGTATTGACTACATCCTTTACAGCGACGAGGGCCTCCAACAGGACTGGAAACTGGTACGGTTTTGTTGTCTTGCTGGATGACGCTCTCAAGACTCAGTCTCATATTTTTATTGTCAATTTGAGACTTTTTTAGACCTTAGAAAACTGGCAACACCTCTTAATCACCTGTCCTTTTATTTGTGTTTGAACTAATTAGCTTGCAATATGCTTAGTAATTTACAAAGCCTCAAAGTATTTCTTTATTTTTAATCTTAAAGATATATGCTGTTTACTCAGTCAGCCTCAGAAAAACAACAGTTCATAGAATTAAGTCCAATATTATACTAAGAAGTGTATTCCCATGATGAGTGTAAACTTTTGACCGGACATCTAAGTGCTTTTAAGAGGTCCTCTAATTCGCTCCATTGACCATAATCAGTTTAAATTTTATATTGAAAGCATTATTTAAATGAGGTCGTGCTAGCGGTCAAGTCATAATTGAAACGTTATTAAAAACATGCCATTTTTATTGTATTCTGAAGGGATTACTTCAACCACAAATTCACAGTAATAACAACATATTACAAGCAGATAAATATATGATTTTAATTTTCTGCCTTTCATTTGTTTTATGAGTCTTTATGGAAGTCCAGACTTCCATAACTGCAGACTAGAGACGGCAAATCATTGTTCAGCGATGGTGTCAACGCAAAGTGTTGTCAATTAGTGAGTTTCTGAAATGTGAACTTTTGCGCTCACAACTGCCCATTTATTTATGTCATATGGATAAGACTACAAGAAATTCCTTTGAATCACGTGTGTACAAGCGCTTTCAGACAGTTCGGGCTCACAGACGTAAACTCCGCAGCTAACACTGACATGAAGTGACGTCATCCTTTCCTATATTCAAAATCCAACAGCTCATTTGGGTGCTCTACCATTCAGCACTGCTTTGAGCTAACTGATGTTAGCTATCTAAGCAGTGCTAACCTACTGTAGCCAATACTTTGTTTTAAGCTAATCAGCTACATGCTAATGTTAACCAGCTACCCAAAACCTTTCACGCTGCTGTCTAGGGCAGCGGTCCCCAACCCCAGGCCATGGACTGGTACCGCTCCGTGAGTTGTTTGGTACCGGGCTGCCAGAGTTGAGGCTTGAGTTTGACATTCGTGGTTTTCAAGGTTTTTATAATTAACTCGGTTTCCCTGGGCCTTTTCCCGTGTTGTAGTTGTGTCTTATTTTGAAAGAAATATTTACGCATTACCATAGCGACCAGAGAGCATTAAGGGACAGAGAGGACGATGTTACTCTCAGTGTTGGTGGCGCATTTCAGGAGGACGCTGCTAATAAAGTTACACAATTATACAGTGAATTCGCGTTTATTATCATATTTACAAAACACCACAGTTTCTGTCTTGGTCGTATCATTTTAGTTTGTTGTATTGATCAGCAACACCTTAAATGCTGGTCCGTGAAAATATTGTCTGACATTAAATTGGTCTGTGGCGCAGAAAAGGTTTGGGAACGCTGCGCTAGGGAAACCAATTCCATTCATTCTACGATTTTCTTAAGCTTATCCAAGGTGGAGTCACAGGAGGTGGGGGTGTATCGCAGCAGTCATGAGACAAGAGGTGGGGTCTCCTGGAGAGGTCGCCAGTGGAAGTCCTTTCTGATTGTGTTCTTTAGCTTGCAAACATGTTAGCTTTCTGCACACACACACACACACACACACAGGCCAGTCTTTCACTTTTACTCAATTTACCAATACAGAACTACAAAGGTGTTCCCAGATTTCAGTGTCGTCACATTGAGCGTTACATGGAAAAGAAATAAAGGGAAAAGAAATGGTACCCTTCACAGATCACCATTTGAACATGCAGATATCGTAGGGACTGTGTACCCCTGGTGCTTTTTGTATCCTCAAAGTATTGTATTTCTAATATAATTTTACAACTTCCATAATCTTGAGCAACACTTTTTCCCTGCAGGAATCAATAAAGTTTTGATTATACAAGGAGCTGAGAATAACAATGTGACGTCTTACACGGTACACAGACTCAGTACACAGTGCACGTTTTTCACAGCAGACATTCAGATTTATCACAGCACGAGAAGGACGTGTGATTAATAACACTAAGAGCAACCCTTCCATTAAGTGGACAAAAGCGAAACCTTCCTTAGGTAATGCAGCGTTCATTCAGTTTCACTGGCATGTCAAAAGGGTTTATTATGAAAAAAGGCAGCACGTGTTTTAAATCGGTGTTCCTACTGTGTTGGATGTGTGAACGCATCTCTAAATATTACATGCTTAAAACACCAACACAAAAGAGTTTGCTAACAGGGGGCACAGAATTGTGGCATTTTCTTGTCAGCGGGGAGGTGATATGTTTAATTCTCCTCTGATTAATTTCCTAGCAACAAAGCTAAAAACCTAATTTTCCCGAGCCGTGTGAAGCAGGCTGAAATTATGTCACACCACGGGAGAATGTTTGACTAAAATCTGGAGAGGTGAACAATGAAACACAGCAAAAACAACAACAAAAAAGTAGGGAAGAAAAGGAATGAGGGCAGGACTGTCTGTGTGAGGGACTGGAGAGGATTGGAAAACCAAATCATACTATTTACACCTCTCTCCTTTCTTCCCATCTCTCTGTCTGACTCTTTCTATTGGCTCTCTGAAGGCAGCCGCCTGACGCCACCTTCTGTCAAAGTACAGTTACTGTAGCATCATTTCCCTTAAGTGGAGCTGATCAAGCATGTCGCTAACCTCCCGTCACTTGAAGGGTCTCATTTATTTACATGTTTACCTTAATCTTGTGTTGTTTCTCTTTATCTCTTCATGTTACTTTAAGTTATTTTTTGAAGAACATACTTGGATAAAAATGTTTCCGCTCTTAGGTTTAAATTGTCCTGCAATAATTATTTAGTGGAGACACAACTAGCAGAAGGAGATTAGTGGATTACCTTAATGAAGACAATTAAGTTTTAAATGAGTCGATATATCAAAGTATGACCCAATTTACATATTAAATATTGCTTATAACTAGTTTCAGTGAATGGATTTTGTATAGAGGGAGGGTTTATTTGTGGAGATGTTGATATATATTTTTAACCACTTCTTAAATCAGGAAACATAGTCAGCAGCCAAGAAAAATACTTTTTTCCCCTTTCATGTGTTGTTATTAATAAAATCTTCCAGAAATCAGCTTTTCCATTGTATATGAGTAATGTGCCTTTAGAGCATGATCAAAAGGTCATTTTGAAGAAGTAGCCTTCAGAGGAATGTGTTGCAAAAGTCCAAGCATTTTTATTTAATTGGGGAAAATACTAGAAGTAATATTAGGAATATGGACCACCTCAAAATTCTCTCTGTTTATCTCTTACACCAAAAAAAGAAAAAAGAATTTGATATATTTTGTAAAATGTTTTGGGTTTTTTGCCATAAAAATGTAAACTAACATACAAATCCATACTAAAAGAATGTTTCATTTTTAAATGTAAGTTTCCTGTCAATTAGATTGTTCGAAGTACTATTAAAAAAAAATTCATAAATTGTCACATCTCTCTTAAAACGGCACTATTGATAAAACATATCAACATTATTAAATGAACTCTCATTGATTGTCATGACAAAGGTTTTAGTAGTACTTGCAGCTACGTTAGCAGTCGTTGTCTGTGGAAAGTACCTTCTATTGACATTACAGTCCACATACTTTTGGTCAGGGTTGTTTATCATGGTTTTGGACAAGTCCCCAGAGTTCCAGTGACATTTAGTGACAGCATGAGGCAGGAAGGCCCTTCCTGCTCCAACATGACAATGTCACCATTCATAAAGCTGATTTTTTTTTTTCAGGAGAGGGAGCACCTCATATTCAAAAAGCACCAAGCAGCTATGATGAATCTAGATGGCCTCTTTCTGTAAAATGTATACATAAAAATGTGGGCTATTTTAGACTCTCAGTTATTGAGATTATGGTTAATGAATAAACCGCTTCAGAGGGGAGCAAATGTTCCGATAGCAAATTGAAAAGCAGCAGCAGAGAGCTGCCTCATTAGCTTGTGTTAAAGTAATTTCTCTTTTAACATCTAACTAAAGATTTCAGCATTTCAGTGATTACACTAATGCTTTCTTTATACTGGAGGATGTTGGTTTTGGTAATATTGTAGGCTGCCCGAAGATGTCATGTGCAGTGGTGCTTCCTCTTATCTAAAACAAGGCTGTAAGACACTGATTCCCAACACTCCTAACTATCACTCCTAAACTGAAAAGTTTTTAACAGAAAACCAGCAATGCCAAAATTAATGCACGTGACTTTATTTGAAACGTCTTTTACTTTCTGAAAACAAAAACCAAACCCGCCCTAACGTTGAAAGTTGCTGCAGAATTAACTGCGAGCTTTGTGACGCCTTCGTGATCTGACGATGCTCTCTTCTACTCTTCATCCTGCAGGAAATCGAGGAGTTCAGCTTCGTCACCCAGCTGGCCGGCCTCACCGACCACCTGTCTGTGGCCATGCGCTTGGCTGTTTCCACTGGGGAAGAGGAGCCTTAGACTCATCACCTGAGCTTTTTATTTAAATACTGCCATGGAGAAGAGCAGACAGCCAGGATGAGAAGAAGATGTTATAGATAAGGAGGTGCTCAAGGAAAGATTGATGGGGCAGCAAATAGATGGATGAATGAACGAAGGAGGATTAATGAAGGTAGAGAAGAGGACCACCTGAGGGGAGAGAGACTCTGAGAGACTCTGAGCAGGAGAGATAAGCAGGGGAATTCAGTTTAGGAAACCAGAAAGATTTTCATCTTCCTGGGTAAATCACCCACTCAGTCACACACATTAAATACAGCACCACCCACAAGAGATCGACTTCTCGACTGTTGAGTATCGCCTGGCCTCTCCTCCAACGCTCCCTCTGGAACTGAGTCCAAAGGGTTTTATTTTCAGTGAATGGTTTCATGTAGCCAATACACACACTCCTTTTATCAGATCTGTTTTAGTCGTAGTGTTAGTATGATTTCTTTTTTTAATTATAATTATTGTTATTATTATTCTACCTTCAGGGACAGAAGGGACAAACACATTATTGGAGAGAAGCGTACAGCTACAGACTGGCCTTTACACTGACCGTCTGTGTCTTTGTGTCGTGTTCCTTGCTGAAAGGCTCTTGGTCAGTTATTCACCTTACTGCTCTCACAGTCAGTCCCAGGAACCTCAACAAGTGTCTTTTCTTTTCTAAAAAAAAAAAACAAGTCTTTCTAAAAGGATGAAATCAATGTACAATTTCTATTGTGGCCGCACCAATTTTTATAAGGAGTTGAAATGCCTGTTTAATATTATATGGTATGTTTCTATAAAGAGGTATTGTTTAAAGGGACATGAAACTGGAGACAAAACGTTGTCGGTTGAATGCGATGCGACGCTACAGCATGTTTCCTCAGCCATATTTGGTGAAACCATTGGTGAAGCTTTGCTGATGCATGATGGGAAATGGTGTTAGTTTACAACATTCATATAAAGGCTTGACACATACTTATACGTGTCTGAATGCCTCAAGGGGCATTTTGGCTCTCAAACACATACCTGCGTGTCTGTGTGGCATTTGTGCATGCTAATGCTAATAACACACATACAGAGGATTTAGCTAATGCAGGCACACAGCTACACACATGACATAAGGAGGGCTTTCAGTGGATGTAACAAAAAACCCCTGGCAGCCAAATTGGACCTCTTCACGAGTCCGACACGAAACATGGCGATCTTTTTGAGAGACTAGATATTGTCAACTTGTTAGCAAACAAACCGTAGTAGCTGGTTGGAAAACCATCACTTTATTGTGAGCACATCTGTTTGGTTCACTTGGTAAATTCCAGCATGAAGCCCAGTTATTAGCACAGCAAGTTGTCCAGTGGATTATTACGTTGACAGCCATATTGCGACGCAACTGCAAAACCTCATTGTTCTGTAACATTTTAAACACCTACAGGCTGTGCAATATGCCACGTAAACTCAATATAAAGTTCAAAACAGTCCCAAAGATTAGCACAGACCGACCAAGAAGACACAGAATTCAGATTTTATTGCATCAAACGCTTCTTTTTTCACTTTTTTCACAAATACCTTTAAATAACAGAAACTATCCTGGTTTTTTTTTTACAATGTATCCAATATTTTCAAAAAGCAGGACATGTTCTGGTTTGTTGTTGTTGTTTGTTTGTTTTTATTGCGGCACAAATTCCTGGGAATGATTTGCCAGTAAATGTTCTATAATTACCTGGATTTCATTTTTCTTTTTAAATGGAGAAGTGTCGAAGTGAAAAAACAAAACGTAACTGAAGGTGTGTTCAGACTGAAAGCACATGTGAGACTTTTTCTCTTTAATGAAAAAACAAAAAATCCCAAGTATTTTAGCTGTTTGTGCAAATTCAGTCAAATTCCCACCAACTGCTTTGCCTTCAGCCTAAATGCACCTTCAGATTTCTGCTGTACTGTGTTACAATGTGGAGAAACTGGCTGGACAATTTTGAAATACTAAATCATTATAAAGCCATTACACCGACTCTCTGTGTGTAACAGAGCCAAACAGACCATGGTATCAAACAGGAGCTGGAACTTTGAGAAGTGTTTAGAGACATGTGCTTACTCAAACTGTCCTTAAATACCCCCAGACATGCAGCTGTGGTGCTGTGAACTCAGAGTGCTGTGGGCGAGTGACCTTGTTACCTTGAACTTTAAGAAACGAGGAAGCAGTTTTTAAACTATCAGTATTCTTAAGTGAGATGCTGCCAAATTAAACAGTTCTGCTTGGAAAAACTACAACTGTCATTCATACAGCAAATACCTTGAATATAAAACAGGCAAACATTAGCCATCACAAGCTAATGGTCATATCAAGCCAAGTCAAGTTTGCATCCAAATGCTAGATTCGTATTTTCTCCACAGTACCTGTTGTTTAGCACCACACATGCTAACCTGTAAACAGTAAATGCAGTAAACTCCAGATTACTCTTCTACCATTCTGTTTAATCCAGGAACTACACCCATACTGCCATCGGTCAATATGGGCCGTAACACCTCTCTCTCTGAATAAAACATGCTTTACGGTGATAGTTAAGTTTGCAGATACTGTCTATATACCATGATCTGCAGGGTAAACAATGTTTACAACAGTTTTGTGACCTTTCTACCTGTCTCGTAATCACTTCAGGGGAAACGTTTCACTTCAAGCATCACTTTCAGCATCAGTGCAAATATGAATATGTTGGGGCAACTTCATGTGGTATTTTCCCCCCAGTTAAAGTGCTAGCTGGCATTTCTCTGAATAAAAACTGTGCTGAATGATAACCCAGGGTGGCCAGTGCACTATAGTATGTTTACAGGCATGGTATCAGCAGTCTACATCCTGCTGTTGTGAGTGTGTGTGCATGTGTGCGTGTGTGTGCACAGGACTTGTCAGTCATCCTGTTATGTATGTTCAGCTTACAGTTTTGCATACAGTATGAGTCCATCTGTCATGTGACTCTCTATATTACTCATGGTATTATTATGACTGACACGTTCTTGTTTTTACCAAGTCTGTGCTTCACCATGTTCCTTTTTTATTTGATTTTTCTGAGACAAAGTCAGGTGAATTTGAGAATAATCACTGCTTTGCTTAGGGTAACATCACACACCCAAGAGCACTTGGTAAATAGTCATGTAAATACACTATATGAGTAAAGGAAAGGTCTGCTATGAGGTATAATAAATCAAAGGTTTGGAGAAGTACTGTGTTAGCCAATGTAAACATTTATTTATAAACCTTTATTTTTCAACTGTTGTATTTATTGCATCAAATCTGAATACTGCCGAACAGTTCATTTGTAAGAATGGACAGACAAACAGTGTGACACGTCTTATTTTAAAGCTGGACTGTGAAGGTTTTTGATTTTATATTTGGATTTCATTTTGTTTTGCTAATTCTTCTGTGTTATTTTTAATATTTCCGATTTAAAGTTCAAAGGAGAGTGTTGGTTTGTGTGGGTGTTGAGGGTTTATACCAAGCCTTAGGTTTGCAGTTGGGTGACTTTTCAGTCAGTCATGCGTAAACTTAGCAGTTGGAGGCAAATATGAACTCATCCTGTTGTGTATTCCTGTGAACTCTTTCTAAGCAGTGTGTTAGGCTGGTGAAGAGAAAAATGCTCAAGTGTAGTTCCATTTAAGTGGCATTAAATTCAATTTCTGGGCCACTTTAATGCTCTTAAACTGGTCTGCTGTTTGGTGCTGGGCAGGCACATTGACTACAGATGCAACCGCTGACTGTATATAAAGATGGACAAATAGCACATGTCCACTTTATCTTCCAAAACTGATGGAAGATATATGCTGGTGACAATATCTCTGTTGTAGTGATTAGAAGTAGATCCTAGTATGAGTGGTTCTTCTAACATCACACAAAATTATTATTACAAGTCAATAAATTCCTCTCCCCCAACTCCACGTCCTACTTCCAGATCAAATTTCCTGAACATTAAAAACACATTTTCAAATTTAACTGGAAGATAAAACCCATGATCTCGAAACTCCAAAAATGTGGAAATTAGCAGACATCAAATAAATAAATGAGTAGTAATAATTACAATAGGGAATTGAAACAACCAAAGATCAAGTCCTTTATAAACCAAATTGAACAAGTATAGTACTTTCTAAAGTCACTTCATGCGCCTATTTTCATTTGATATTAGAACAGCCTGTAAAAACAATGTTAATGTCTCCCAGAGTTAAGTGTTAATATGAAACAGTGATGTGCAGAAAATAAACCGACAGATATTCTAAACTAAGGATGAATATGGTTTGACTTTGATAGGAGATTAAAACTGAGACCATTTACTTTTCATTAGCTCTGGATGAAAAGGATAAATGGTACGGTGTTCTGAGACGGACATATAGGTAAAAAATAAAATTCAGAATCAATTCAAAGTCTTAAAATTTTAATGCATCAACTTGTCTCAAGTAAAGGTTTTGGTTTATTCACCAAAAGACTATTTACATGTTTGTAGAGGAGAAAAATTATTATTGCAAATTTGGAATTTTAGTCCTGATAAATATTGTATTTGTGCAATATTCAGTGCTCGGAGGTCTTAAAACCTCGATGCCTTCGCTGTGCTATCAGACTATATTAATTATCTAGTTTATAAAAACCAAACACTTTGAATTTTTAAAAAGTATTTGCTTTAGCCCTCTGAAGTCTAAGTCATTATCAGCTCTAAACCCTAAACCTAAGGAGGAAAGCAAAAAGGACACCACTGTTGTTGACGTACACATTGGTGAGTTGAGTCCTTTTGATGATTGTAACCATTTTAACAAATAATCGGGCTGTAGCTTTTTAATTCCTGATTAATTCTGATTAATATGTACTGACCATGTCAGCACTATATTAAGGAAAACACTCTGCCATTAATGATGCCACCACCTCCCAGCTGACTGCGAATGTTGCTACTCACAACCTAAAAACAGTGCAATCTAGACTATGAACATTTATAGAGCTGAAATTATTTCTCTTGAATAATTATAATTATGCAGTCTAGCACCTTTTGTTGTAAATAGGAGAACAACATATTGTTTCAAATCTGCCTCACTGCACTGCTGCTCCTGACAATCAAACAACTGGAATTGTTTGGTCAAAGGCTCGTTAGGAGCTTCAACCACAGCCACACAAACCTTAACTGTAATGACACCCAGGCCCACTTCCATCACTTCAGCCCTTTAAAAACAAACATTAGGACAAAATTAGATTCTCACAACGGTCAGCTGATTGGCTTGTAAGTGACAGGAATGTAGACACCTAGATAACGTAGTGCTCCCGACACTTTAGCCTCCATTATCCTGCTGCAGGGAGATGACCAAAGTTATCATTATAAAGACTAAAGATGAAGATGTGCACCGTACTTTGGTGAACACATGAAAAATAATTTACTCCTTCCTGCATCTTTTGGTGTCTGTATTCTTAGGGGAGCTAACCAGCAGGCCAGTTGATGTCTGTATGTCTGATATAATTTTGCTACATTTCTGATCACAAATCACTGCCTGCCTTGTGTCCATGTCGAGTTCAGGACAGAGTTATTCAGCAGTTAGTTGGGGATTTGAGCTCTAACCTTTTGTAGCTGCATGTAGTGTAATATTGCTTTAGGCGTGTAGACTTCATAGGAGTGATGCTTCACTTTTGCAATCCTTTTCTCATTTGTTTTTTTTTTCTATCATGTGTCTCCATGTTTTTTATTGATTCTTGTCTTTTGGGGGGGAGGGGCTTATCGATGGGTTTGTCTGGCTGGGTCTCTGTAACTTGGCTCGGGGGATCAACTGCTTTTCTCTTTCTAAGCTTCTTCAACAAAACTGCTTATTTTCCTCTGCTTTTCTAAAGAAAAAAATCAAAGGAACTTTCCCCTCTACACGTGTCTTTGTGTCATTATTCACTTGAGGTCATTCAATGAACTGCAATTGTAATGTTCGTGAAAATAACTAGTGGATATAACAACCAAAAGTGCCATGACAAGCTTGTGGCAAGCGGTAACGCTAACTACCCTCAAAGTTTTTGTAAGTGAAAAGCTGCTATTGGTTGTTTGTGCTTCAGCTCATTTCCTCTTTTTCCAGTGTATCACAGTATGACTGCTTAGCACTGAGGTTAAGTCTGATAGAGACTGCCCTCTGGCTCTTATTAAAGGACAAAGTTTAAAGAAGTGAAAGAAGCCTTTAAAGAGTCCTTCTGCTTTTGATGAACAGGGGAAGAAGTCTAACACTTAAAATTTACATACAATGCTCTGTCAAGTGTCGAAAAAAAACCCGCTAAAAAGTCAGATTAGTCATACAACAGAAAAGCACTGGACTGTAAACATGTCAAAGAGCAGCTCATCTTCCTATTAATTCTGATTCATGCTTTCTGAGATTTTCTAGCCTCCATGTGAATCCTTCTATCAATCTTTTAAGCATCGCACTGGTCACTGTTTTTATACTGATGATTAGATGAAAAATGTGAACGAACAAAGAAGTTTTTCATAGTAGCAAACAGATTATCATCCACCTCTGCAGGGCCTTTTATTGCTGAGTTCTACAGAGCTATTTTTAAAAAACATTATTTCGCCTCTTTTTTTGATACACTTTACACTTGCTGCTCTGCAAAAAAAAAAAAAAAAAAAAAAAAAAAAAAAGCAACTTAGCGGTGGTTTACTAGGTGGTTTTTGTGCCAGAATTTCACAGTAGCTGGTTGGAAGCATGACTCCAATGAGTGCTAATGTGGCATTTTAACATAACCCCATACAGTGTGTTAATTTGTCACTGGTGTTTACTGCCTCCATATGACCTTTCATCATTCCCATTGTTTTGCAGTAGCAGTTAGCCACTTCTTTTAAGAATTCTCTGGGTTCACCAAAAAGCAGAAGTTAAAAAAATATTCACTAACCGCTGAACTTTTTGTAGTCAGAAGCACTGAGATAAGTGTGCTTTCTAAATGCTTTGACATTTTTCTTTTTTTGATATGATAACATGTCATGTTGCCAGAAAAAAACTTAAGCCATCTTAAAGTGACACTTTTGTCATTAGAACAACAAGTCAAGCATCTTTATTTATAGAGACAAACATCACATATCTAAAGCAGCCTCTTTAAAAGGGCTTTATATAGATATTACAATACTGTGTGTCAAAGCAAAAAAAAATGCAGAATTAGTTCAGTTATTAACTTTATTCTTATCAAATTACAAAGACACGGCAACCCTGCTATGTCAATAAACAAAAAAAAAGCCTACAACACAAATTCACCTATCTAAAGGGATGGAAACCACAAGCAACAACCTACATGCTCACACTACTCACTGACAAAACAAAATCCACACCGCTCCCACGTCCTCACCCTGCACTAGCCTTTACAGTGTCAGAGTTACCTGTTGAGGGAGCCTAGGTGCCGACCGGGGATAACGAGCGGCAATCTCAAGGGGGAAAGAGAGAGCAGAAGGGAGAGCCACACATGTAGACCTACCCAGCTCCCTCTCTTATACATAATTTATGTTTTGGAAGGAAGACATACATGACCCAGGAGGTACAGGTAATGAGGGAGCACTATCAGGTAGTCATCGGCACTTTGTTAGATGCATGAAAGCTCATCTGCTACAACATTGTCAGCACCTGTATTATGTTTGTTCACAGGGTTGTAATCCTGTGCCAACAATGCCCAGCGCATCAGTTGCTGGTTCAGATTGAACATCCATTAATAAAAACAAGAGTGTTGTGGTCTGTGAACGCTGTTCCTGAGGGAGAGCTAGAGGCAACAGAGACTACAAAATACTGTCACTCAAGAAGCGAGGCCAGTGTCTCCTTTTCTACAGTGGTGAAGTTTCATTGATGGGGTTTAAACTTCACTGAGAAATAGCAGACAGGGTGGCACACCTCCATCCTGGAGTAACATGGCGCCAGCTCTTGTGGTGCTGACATCAACATCTAGTTTGAAAGGGTGAGAGAAGTCAGGAGCAGCCAGAACAGGGGCCCTACAGAGGAGGGACTTTGCCGACTCAAATGCACATTGGCACTCTTCAGATAAGAGGCATGGATGGACTACACAACTTGGTCAAAGGAGCTACAGAAAAGCTTCTACAGAAACACCTGTTATATCCAGTCATCCCTAGAAACCGTTTTAGTTCCCGCCAAGTTGTTGGAACCGGATAGTTTAGCATTACAGCGACTTTGGCCTTCACTAGATGAACCTGTCCAAAACCAACCTGCTTGCCTAAGTGTGTAACTGTCGCTTTACGTCTGTGTAGGTTCTCAGTCATTCAGGTCATGGTAATCTAAGGACCTTGAAAAGAAAAGCAACTGGACTTCTTGAGTTTCTTTAACACGTTTCACCTCTCATCCAAGAAGCTTCTGACACTTGCCGGACTTTATCAAAGGTGTAAGCATCACAGCAGATTCCTTTGTGTCAAAGTAACTGAGGATAAAACACAGAAAAACCACCATCCTAGCTCTCCTTGTGGGGAACACACCCAGTCATGTCAAAAACTCCACTGACATATTCAAGTTTATTGGAAGCCCACAAACACAGACCAGTACCTACTCTTTGACACCCACGACCCTCTGGAACACAAACTTGGAGTGATCAGGATCCTGCAACACCGGGCAGAAAACATTCCCTCTAAGCCAGAAGGGAAAAAGAAGGAACACATGTGGTCATTCCAACTGGGCTTTCATCACAGTAAAGAAGATCAGACACCAACTAGGGAGAATCAGAAGGACAAATGGAACAACATTGTCATCCTTTATGTAGCAGGTCTGTCAGAAAAACTCAGGAAAGTCTTCTCGAGGCACAACATCCCAGTGTACTTCAGACCCAGCCACACATTCGGACAGAAACTGGTTCATCCCAAAGACAAAACTCCTAAACACAAACTTAGCAACTTAGTGTATGTTGTGCAGTGCAGTGAGGAGTGCTCAGACATCTTCATTGGAGAAAGCAAACAGCCACTTCATAAAGGCATGGCACAACATAAAAGAGCCACCTCGACAGAACAAGACTCAGCTGTGCATCTGCACCTAAAGGTCAAAGGTCACTCTTTCGAGAATGCCAATGTTCACATTTTGGACAGAGAAGACAGATGGTTTGAAGGAGGAATGAAGAGGCGATCTATGTGCACTATGAATGTGTGCATATTACCACGTCATCCAGATACACATTATATTGGGGCACATCCCCCCACACCACATGCATCAAATGCTGAAATGTAGCACAGGTGTTTTTCAGTCCAAATGCCACGAAAGTGTACTGCATAAAATGATCAGGAGTGACGAATGCAGAAATGTCAGAGGCTCTTGGAGTCAAGGAAACCTGCCAGTAACCTTTAAGAATATCCAACTATGACCACCTGACCTATCCAATCTATGCTGCCGATGCAGTCTTCCACACATACGAATGTAACAATAACACCCACTCACATCCTGGGCCATCTGACCTCAGGAAATCACATGATAGGGTGGGGCCAGGTTTCACAATGAGCTCACCCGAAACCCTGGCTGATTGTGACGCACACCCGTTTTCACACCATGGCTCATGTGATTAGGTGGAGGATCATCAGGGGGTTCTTTATCCCTCTTTGGGGGGAAACTCCCACTGGGTTTAAATCTGGGACTCTCCACCATTTGACCTTAGAACTGAAGAAGCTTCTCGGATAAGACGTGAAACATCTTCAAGCAACTTAAAGAAGTCCAGACGCTTTTCTTTCCAAGCTCCTTAGACTCCACCAAGGAGTTTTTGGTAGGGTTTGCATGTGTGTCATTCATTATTTAAACATGATAACTGGAAAAGTTTTGAATTAATAATAATAATAATAATAATAATGGATTGGATTGGATTTATATAGCGCTTTTCAAGGCACCCAAAGCGCTTTACAATGCCACTATTCATTCACTCTCACATACTGGTGGAGGCAGCTACAGTTGTAGCCACAGCTGCTCTGGGGCAGACTGACAGAAGCGAGGCTGCCATATCGCGCCATCGGCCCCTCTGGCCAAAACCAGTAGGCGGTAGGGTAAAGTGTCTTGCCCAAGGACACAACGACCACAGCTTCCCCTCGTCAGTGCGTTATGCTCTCCACGGCGGTTTCCACAGTTTGTTCTCACCTGCACATCTGCTTCGTATCCATGCCTGCCTGCCTGCCCTCCAGCCTCCCATTACTCCTCGGACACTGGTAACTCCCACCTCCCTCCTCAGAGCTTACAAAGCCCAAAACCTGCAAAGTAAGAAAAATTAACTCACCAGCTAACTGCTCGTAGCTCCTGCTCCTTACCCATCAATAACTCCTTCTCTCGTTTCTCCGTCTCCTGCCGTGACCTCCTTCAATCCTTCCCAGCTTCTGTCGCCATTTCCCCGTTGCCATTATTAACTTGAATCACACTCTTCTATACATTTTCTGTTTTCAAATAAACACTTCAGTAAATAGCTATACTACGCATCTTGGTGTCTGCATTTGAATCCATTCCTTCAGTTCATGACATGTTAACAGTCCATTAAAATTTGCCTTACATCCACCTTCAAAGTCAACTTAATGATTTATTGGTCAGAAATTGACAAAAAGCCATAGAACCTATGATTAGAAACTACGATTCGGGCAGGTTTGGTTTGTATTGTCAACATACAGAAAGATACCAAACTATTTAAAAGATCGTGTCACATTTGACATCTGACCTCTCCTTCAAGGCCAGTAGATTTGTTTGAAGGTCAAAGTAATAATAATGCTACATAATGCTACTTAAAACTATGTTTCTTACTGCCATTGTTTGTACTGACAAGATGTTGGAATATAGAAATGATGGGGATTCTAAAAGTCAAAGAACTTTAGACCTCTGACTTCTTCTTCAAGGTCAAGTATGGTTGAATGTACATAAAATGTCTTATATTTAAATCTATG